ACCCCAGGTAGGGTGTCTACGAAAGACCCATGCACGAAGTTGTTGAAATATCCGGAAATCCATACGGTGAAAGATTGCAGAGCATTCCGAAAACTTGAAGTGAGCATTCCATAACAGCTCTTTCCGGTCAATCCAGGAGAACTCGTCCAATGGGTGGTACAGAAAGTTAACTTTCTACTGCCTGTTCCTCCCTTTTCCTTTATGCGAAATGATTCTGTCTATTTCGTGACCACCGTCGGTAGCACGACGATTATTGATTATTGTTCGCAGCACCTTCTGTTAGGGGATTCTGAGGATTTGCAGAGGGTCCAATCTCCTCATCAGTACCTTCTGTTAGGGGATTCTGCAGATTGCAGAGGGCTCAATCTCCTCATCAGTACCTTCTGTTAGGGGATTCCGCAGATTGCATAGGGTTCAATCTCCTCATCAGTCGGTGACACTCTGACGGAACAGTCTACCACAGGCCCCCTTTTGCCCTTGCTGCCTATGGTTCACTGGCCAGTGCTCTGTGACTATATAATACAAATTTTCATATTTTGTTTACTGCTGTAGTACTGACCCTTTTTTTGTTTTTCGACTACATATAGCATTACATACAGGTGTGGAATGGATATTAACATATAGTGTGATATACAAGATATACTATACTTGACCCTCCTGCGACTGAAATGGACACCGAGTGTCTGGCCCACAGGAAGTTAACATCGACTTAAGCCGTCAGTACACGACCCCAACCTCGTAGAACTTCGTTCATCGCCTGCTCCGACAATTTCGCAGCTCTGAGCTAACCAGACCACAATGGCGCGCAATGGAGCGCCTCCAGGCCCATTTTGTGGTGCCAGGCCCATTTTGCGGCGCCAGGCAAAACAGAAACAGAATAGTCCTGCCGCGGGCAGTTCGCAAAAGCTTGGCGCGCAATGGAGCGCCTCCAGGCCCGGGTACATTGTGGCGGTTTAAAGCCGACTGCCCCGGCCTGACCGAGAGGTACACAAGGCGGCGCTTGCGCTGACTATCCTTACTGGCATATGTGCACACCATGGTTATGCTGAGTATACTTACCCTCAGCATACAATGTATCTGGACTCGCAGGTAGGAACCTGGCATGCATACACAGTATTACACACCACTGGCCCAGGGTTAACCCCAGCCATACTGGGAGGGTTTCCGTTGCCTTTAATAGTCACACAGACTTGACGGGCCGCAGAGATGCTCAGCTGAAAACTGCCCCGCGGCTCGGCCCCGATGTTGGTTTGGAGGCACTGGTGCTTGAAGTGTCTTGGACCCAAAAAAAAAAAAAAAAAAAAAAAAAAAAAAAAAAAAAAAAAGGGAAGTTGGAACTGCAAAAGCTCTCCTGACTTGCCGGTGGAAAGGAACCGGACTGACGCTCCCCAGAATGGACATGGAGTCATGACCATAAGGACCTGTTTCAACTGTCAACTAAAAAAAAAAAAAAAGCATTCTGGACATGGACTCAGAATGTAATTGGTAGGTTCCATCATCTGCCTCTGAGAGATCTGACATCGTCCGCAAGTCGTCCATTCCCAACCTGGGCCCACTGGAACTATGTTGGGCCCACTGGTGCTAGGTTAGACTTGCCAGCCTTTAGTCCGAGGCGCCGGAAGATAGAACGCAACCTGAGACATCTGACATCGTCCAAAAGTCGTCCATTCCCAACCTGGACCCACTGGAACTATGTTGGGCCCACTGGTGCTAGGTTGGACTTGCCAGCCTTTAGTCCGAGGCGCCGGAAGATAGAACGCAACCTGAGACATCTGACATCGTCCAAAAGTCGTCCATTCCCAACCTGGACCCACTGGAACTATGTTGGGCCCACTGGTGCTAGGTTGTACTTGACAGCCTTTATTAACTTTTTACATATTTCCCTAAATTCACTTGAGATTTTCTTGAGATTGTTTCACTGAAATCCGCAAGGACCTGAAACATGTTGGGTTTGAACTCACGAACTGATCATCGGCAATTGCATAGGTCCAGCCACATGGGTTGCGTCAACTTTTTTTTTTTTTTTTTTCGAGAACAAGCCTCCGTCAGTGCTATTGGTGCTGATAAGAACAGACACCACTAGCACCTGGGGGGAGCTCCATCTATTGGTGGGGAGCATCACCTGCTGGAAAACGGGTCCAGCGTCCCTTACATGGACAGAATTCGGATTTCATCAGAAAAGAGATTGTAGGCATATCCCTGCCAGCATTGATTACCTTGGGCTGCGTCAACTTGGCAGAACCTGTGTCATTTGCCTACCAGCAGAAAATGGCAAAGGTCCAGCCACATGGGTACTACCGTCTTCACCCGAATAGAACGCCCGGTCATAATAGCTGTATTTGGGACAACTGTCGGTCCACATGCAGCAATAATGACCGGGCGTTCTATTCGGGTGAAGACGGTAGTAACTTAAAGTTTGTAAGTTCATCATATACTAACTTCACAGAAAATCTAACTTTACAGAAAATCAGTTCACACACAACTTCACAGAATATCAGTTGGAAAATTGAAAATTGGGAATGCTCCATTTGCCTTCCAGCGGAGGCTCAACCGGAATCTCAACCGGAATCTCAACGTGCGCCCACTGGTACTATGTTGTGCCCTCCCCACAACAGAAGAAACCATGGAACTTTCTCTTCCTTTTTTTTTTGTTTTTTTTTTGTTTGTTTTGTGAAACGGATCGGTTCCAGGTAAATTCAGAGTTATTTACTAATCTGACATGATCTGAGTCGGATGGGATCGGGATTTGAACTGAGGTCTGTATTTCAACAATTCAAAGGTGTACTAAGTTACTAACAGAAGAGAGTTTTTTTTTTTTTTTTTTTTTTAACCAACTCGTCTCATTCATCGTATTACAGAAAAGGGGGAGGCCGGGAATGCGCCACAAGCAATCCAGAAGACAATACTGGGAGCATTACCCAACTCTGGTGCAGGCTTTGGGAGACTAAGTCCAGGAGTAGCAGAAATGGCCAAATCCGGACCGCTGCTCTGACATTCCACAACCCCCTGGGAAACCACTCAGCTTTCTGAAACCACAGGCACTCAGAACTTCTTTATTTCTTCTTTCGTCTGCAGCCCAACTCAGGTGTTTTTCAATGGTTCATGCGTGTACCAAAATTGAGCGAGGCCCATCTTTTCCACTACTGGTGGAAAACACAGTGTACCAGCCTGCGCGCCACTGCTTTTCCACCCTTTTAGTCCAACGGACTCCAACCACGACAAAATGAATTTCCCTCAACGTTTGCTATAGGCAAGAGGATAACTTACTACCGTCGTCACCCGAACAGAACGCCGGGTCATTATAGCTGTAATTGGCAGAACTTTCCGTCTAGATGCAGCGATAATGACCGGGCGTCAGTGTTGCACACCCCGGCGGTCGGCGGCCGGTCGGCTGGTCGGCACCTACTGGTCGGGGGTTGTCGGCACCCCGCCAAAAAAAAAAAGGGAGGGGGTCCAAAAC